ATAATAAAATAGGAAACCTTGTTTCTTTGAATTCTACCCCTCAAACAACACCTTCCCACCCCCCCATGATATAATCATTTACCTTTCGCCACGAAGCACAAACTCAGAGATTTCTAGATTTGGCTGTTCAGGCATCTCATATTAAAAAAAAATAATCAGTGTATTTCCAGATTGAAGCCACCAAGGGCACCTGCTGGCAGCTCAGCCCTCGCCCTCCTCTTGCTCCCAAGCCCTGGGATCGACCCAGCTCGGACACCAGCGCCATCGGACCCACGGCCCCATCGCTCCACGTGCACACCAATTTAGGCTCATTTAATGCCCCACTCACACCGAAAGCTGAATGGCACCAAGAGGACAGGTCCAGGGAGCACAATGTACCCTGCGTGTCCCCTTCCTCGCTGCAGCCCTGCAAACCCTAACCCAAGCTGGGCCATGCAAGGGTGAAGCCCTTCTTCATCCCAAAAACCTGACGCCGGGCTGTCTGCTCACCGGGGAGAAGCCCTGCCAGAAATTGCCACTGCAGAAAAAACCAAACCCAAGAGGGACAACTGAATCTCCGGCATCATTTATACAAGGTGATGGCCATGCCAGGTATGGACCAAAAATCACGGTAAGTCTTAGGAGTTGGTACTGAGGACTCCTGCGTGTTTGCGTTTCAGGAGTGATACGATGCCAAGGTCACTGAATGTCTCCCACCAACGAGGACAGCGTTAGCCTGAGCCCCGGCACAGCAATTATTTGATGAGTTTTGGTGGAGCAGGACCCTGACCGGGAAGCAGCACTATCAACCTGACATACAAAAGAGGGACCAAAAATTGCTGCTGAATTTTCCTATTGCTTCTCTGGCTATTTCTGCCATCCACACAGTGAGCAGAGACTCCGGTTCAATCCCAGATTTGATGCTCTTAGAGGAAGGAAGTCCTCCAGCCCCTCCAATAAAGCCTGTCCCTCCTAGTCCTAACTTCTCCAGCACCTGGTGGTACCATCCAGCCTTGGCTGAGCAGAGCAGCAGAAACACACGTACAACGCCTTCACTGTGCCAAAGTCTCAAACGCACAAATCAAAAACCTCACCCAGACCCTGAGCCATACGGTGGCCACATGACAGAAATAAAACATAGGATGCAGCACTACTTTTCTCTAAAAAGCATCTCTCTTTTCCCTTTTCCAACATGTTTCCCAACGGGATCACACACCTCAGGGGGAAAAGCTCATCCAGCAACCGGCCACAATGACACAACATCCCAAAACAGCACAAAAGACTTTCCACAGCTGCTGCCCAAAGCTGACCCCCCCCCGCTCCGGGTTGCAGGACCCTCACCTCCTGCCTGGGCTGTAACCCAGCACGGTGCCTGGCCCCTGAGAAAGGAGTATAAAGTGCTCGTGGGCAACCCTGCGCCGCCATCCTGGTGCATCCCCCGCCGTGCATCTCGCATCGCTGCTTCCCTGCGCGCGGAAGATCCGTCACAGCAGCCCACCGATGCTAAAGGTCTTGCTGGAAAGACCTAAGTTTTATTTAAAAACTTTGACTATGCCAGACAGCACCATCAAAATAAAACTAAAAAGGAAATAATTCCTAAACTCTGTTGTCAAAAAAAGCAAGGATCCCGGAGGCTTTGCCCCGAAGCTGCTTTTTTTTTAACAAGCTCTTAGGCAAAACAGCCACCCAGCGTCCATCTCCCTTGTATTGCACACAGTCGGATGCCTCGGTAAGACACAAGACCTGATCCCAAAGTGATGGTCTCGGCTCTGGGATCTCCGAGTTTTCAAAATAACATGCTCCAGCCTATAAAAGTGCCTAGCAAGCTGCTCGTGGCATACATGCAATAAATAACTACTCCGTGATTTATCCTGACCCTTCACCGAAGCATATAGGAAAAATAGTTAGATCTATGGATATTTTTCTGCTTCATTAAAATATTTGAACTATAAGCCTCTGTGATCAAAAAGCATGGAGTGAAACCTGTATTCCAAGTAATCAAAGGACCGGGGCAAAGAGAGAGATGTGGTCAACCGTTCAGAAGGGGAAATGGGGATGTGCTAAAATGGTCCCTCCTAGGAAGGGGGATGCCTGCTCCAGGTAGCCTTACTGCAGGTTTCCTGCACTCTTTGCTAGGTAGATCTAGAGGCTTACAATACAAAGGCAAAAGCAATTTGCTGCTGCTGGAAAGAACAAGCCTTTGGCTGGGACACAGCTCTGGTTCCTTGCCCGTGATGGCCTGGGTTTTGGTAACTCACAATTGCAACCCAACGACTGCACGAACAGAGTGACATTGCCCGGCCTCGCAGCAGCGTGGCATCTCCATCAACGATAAAATAACAGGAACTTGGCATCTCCATCAACAATGAGATAACAAACTCAGCATCTCTTCAAACAGCCGCTCTGTTAGTGGGTTGAGAAGGATGCCTGGTACAACCACCCCCGCCTCTCTGCTGTCAGGTGAAAGCAGAAATTACCGGCAGGAATTCAATAGTGAGTTAAAATTTCATGATTTCATCTTTGCTCTGAAACAGAGCTCTTTTTTTTTTTTTTTTTTTTTTTTTTTCTTTCTTTTCAGGTCTCCTTACATTAGAGACTCCCATCCGTTATTCAGTACTCATCAGTGGGGCCTTTACACAAGGAACTCCTCCACACACATACATATTTGGGTAAAATTAATAATCCTACACCAGACCTTAAGCCCCAGGAAACCAGCATAACTCAGGTGATGCAATACGGAGTGGATGGACCGAGCAGGTCCCTGCAGGCACCAC